CCATTGTATACAGTTCTCTGAGAAAACATTTGCCCCTTTTTTGTATATTGTCACACTTACATGTTTCAAATCATCGCACAAAGTCTTTTCATTTCAGATGAGACTAGATAAATTAAGTAAATAAAAATGCAGTTTTTAAATGGCAATTGATTTTATTAACTGTTATTATTAACAATTGCATTTATTAATTCATCAATGACTCATCCAGGAGCTAAAAAACAAACAAAACAAAAACAAAAAAACTAGGGAATGAAAATGTCACTTGTCTCAGTTAAGGTCAGAGTTCATAATGGGGTGCTAACAAAGAGACTGGGCAAAAATGGTAAGGTTCCAAGGTGAAAGCCACAGCTGACCAAAAACAAACAAACAAACAAAAAACACACAAGTGTTCATCTCACATTTTCCAAAAAAAGAAAAAAACATCAATCATCATGATGATCTCCAGGACATTTAGGAAAACTGTTGTTGACACATTATACGATCATTTTGTAAAGGTGGTGTTTTGGTTGGTGTTGAACTGCTTTGGATTATGAGGACAACCTCTGCTGCACCTGGAAAGGGAGAGGCTGCTTGTGGCTTTCAGAGGAATCTGTTGTTGCTGCTACAATAATGACTTTGCCGGATTTTCCTTCGCTCACCCACACTCTTCTTACACACTTTACGTCATGGCTCCCCTGTTATTATGGGTGTCTGTGCTTACATAAAAATACTTTGTTACGTCTTTTATCACGTCTGTGAACTGCCATTTGCTGGAAGTCTTAAATCACGACTGGATCACCTCGGCATTGAAATGGATTACACAGAATAAAAGAAGGTCAAGTCTGTAACACGACAAACAGCTGAAACACAATGTCAGCTTCATCTGCAGGATTAAAATGGTCATACAGTTAAATTCAATTCCAAAAAAATAGCGTCTGTATATTAATATTGTAAAGGCAGGATATGGTGCAGGTCATATTAGAGGACCAAATTAACTAAACCAGTTTAAATAGCATTCTTATACTGGAATAATCCTTTTTTTGCTATGAAAGCCCATTATAAATTTATTCTGTTTCTAAAGCCTCGTAGAACCTTCATCTCTTTTTAATCTTACACGATGAATAAGCAAATAACCACCTACTCACTAAAAATAAACCTTTTATAGTGCAGCTTTATGTTTTCATGCCCATTCCCTGATGGGCTGTCCCAGTCTTCCTCTATAAATTGCTTCACTTGATCCTCCTGTTGGCATCTGCCGCCTACAAGCAAGACAACATGAGGACTGTCGGTTGGAGTATTTTGGTTTTTATGTTAGCCTCACCGGCTTCAGGTAAATAGTGATTTGTTCATTTATTATTTTCGTATATCATGTAAATGATGTATTTATTTATAAAACTGATGGTATGATTTCCCAAAAAATACAGGTCAAGTATCACAGGATTGTTCAGCACCAGATAAATACCCGAACACCAAACTGGATACGAAATATGCCAGGAGACAGAAATTCAGCCACAGCGAGAAAGTTTACTACAGCTGTGACGACGACTTCACTGCTTTCAGAGGCAGCAGGGTTGTGCAGTGTGTTGATGGACAATGGACCAAACTGACTTTAAAATGCGAAAGTAAGAATTTGACCATTTATTTGTTTTCAAGGGCGGGAAAAAAAGAGTCGCTTGCGTGTTGTTTCACTCAGCAGCCTGTTTACTGAGATATTCTTAGACCTGTAATTTACTTAGATGGATTTAAAGCAGCGCAGAAGCCCGCTAACACCCCCTACTGGGGAAGGTGTTTAATAGATATACAAGTAAAAAACAATTATCAAGAAAAAAGTCGTTCATAAAAAGAAGTCAGAATGCACACAGGTTCAGTTCAGTTCAGTTCAGTTCATTTTTATTTCAAACATTTCAAACATGTGCCTTCACAATCATTACAAAATATCATTCCATTATTTGTTT